ATGTTCAAGGACGAAGGGCTATTCACGCTCTTTGAGACTTCCACGAGAAAGGAAGTATACACCTCCACTTTATCGAGCACGACTTCTTCTGTGATGTTCAAGTTCTTTCTATTTTATGAGCCCGAACGAAAGTCTCTTCGCAAAGATGCCTCTCGGAAAAATACCGAAGTTGACCTAACGGGTGTAAAACAAAATTCAAACGTTTCCTTTAAAGGTTCAAAAGACGAGTTGGGAGGAAATAAATCTCAATTGGACGGCAGCCAAACGAATCGTTCGTCTTCGTGGCCACGGGACGAAATTCGTAGTTCCGTCGATCGACTTCACTTTGGTAAACAAGGGGTTGCTTCCGTGACAAATTCCGAGGATAAAATCGAATCTTTCCAGAAGAAATATTTGGCAAGGAATAAAAATACCGAGTTTCGGCGATCGGAATCGACCGGTGCCGCAAATGACACCGTCAGGCTGACACTTCCGCGTGATATCGATGTCTCGCGAAATACTTTATTAGATAGAATCGGTGCCATGAGAGAAAACAGGCCCGAGTATTCGAAGTCGAAGAGGACCAGGCAGGCGGGGATATCAGATCGGTGCGAAACGAGAATGAAATTGCTTAACCGTTCCATGAGAGAAGGTCCTCCGGGAGATTGGATCGGGGAACATCGGGCAGCCACGCGGCGATTGTCGATCGATAAGAAACTGCGGGAATCGCGCAAAGTACCGGGCGGAACTGCAACGCCGGGAAAAATCGTATTTCGGCGCGTCCGCGGTAAGATTAACTGCCCTCCTGACCCAAATCTCGTTAGCGGTAGAAGTGATTCGTTTAAGATCGAAGGGAACGTCGTCGGAAATGGCCCTCTGGCAAAACTTTCGACCAATGATGCTTTATCCACTGTCGACGGAGGATTAAGTTCGTTAAAAAGAGAAGATACCTCTAGTCGATATTCGTCAACTTCTTCATTAATGAACGATAATATTGGCATTTCTAGAATTGACAAAGAAATCGTGCATGAACATATAAGGTCTGTTACAAAGAATTAATGAGATTAAAAAAACATTTAGTATAAAATATTTAATTTAACTGGGGAGAGGATTTGCATTATTTATCACGGTTATCACAAATTCCTAATCCTAAAGTTCCATAACTTTTCACTTATTTCCAAATAAAATTTCATAATTTTTCTTGATATTTTCAATAATGTTTAAAAATTTTTTGTACTTTCGTTTTGATTTGGGAACCGCGAAATATTTTGATGAGAGAGCAATGTAAATTACTATTAATTTGAATGATATTGCTCTTGCATTTAATTGTTAAGTTAATAGTATTCCAAAACTAAGTAGATATTTTGTTAAACTTCAAGACAAAGATTTTTGATTTTCCAGAAAATTTTACAAAACCTTTTCTCCAATTTCCCTGAACTTTTTTAATTTCCCTGATATTTTCCTGATTTCTAATTTTGTCCTGTTTATTTTTCACCATTTTATTAAAAATTTTATTGTGAAAATTTCTACACTGAGAAAAAAAAGTTATTGTTTTAAAAAAATATTAATTGATTCAATGCGATGGTAACAAATTGTCAAGCAATATTTATTAATTGAAACAAATAACATGTTTTAAATTACAAGATTTGGTTAATCTAAATATATACTTGAATTAAATAATCACTATGAACTAAATCACATTTAGGCAAGTTAACAATTTTTTCCTCAGTGTAAGTAAATTATTTTGAAGAAGACATTCAGTTATAGAGGACAAATTTAACATTGTCCAAGAACTTTGATAATTAGCTTTATTATCTTTTCACATGACGGATCCCGTAATCTCACATTGTCTCGTAGCGTTCCAAACAAGAAACGAGATGTCAGCGAGCGTCACGATTTCCGGAAAGGTAATCACGTACTTAGGAACCGCCAGAAAGCTTCAAGTCCGACAAGGAGGAAGACAAAGCAGCGGAAGATAAAGAAGAAGAGGAAGAAAGGCAGTCAGCGGACGAAAGTTATTTTGGAGACTGAAAACCAGCGGCGTTTCAGAAGACACTTATTAATGATGTCTCTTGAGCCGAAGTATGACGTCGATGATGCCACGGCAAGATTTTCGAGACGTTACGTCGCCACGGAGAAAAGAAACGCTGAGAACTTTCGGAAGTTCGCGAGAAGCAACGTGAGACGGCGGCGCGGACGCGACGGAAGTCGGACGGAAGTCGATGGATCGGAAGTCGATCCCAGCACGGCGCAAATCCGCGGTGGTCAAGACTGCACGGATCGTCGACACCCACCGAATATCGATGCGGCCAAATATCTCGAATCCGCGCATTGTTTGCGCTTTAGTGATTTATGGTAGGTCGCCTATGGGGATTTAAAGGGATCGTGGACTGATCGTGGTGATTCATAACGCATATAACGCTGGTTTCATTGAGAAAAAGAATGTAACCGAATGCAAACTTTTTCTCGACGCTTATCAATCGCGAACGCGATAAGGTTATAGCGATTATAACGGAAAATATAAAGAAAATGTGATAACATTCGAAAGTATGAGAAAGAGACAAATGTTAATAGTAAACAATAAATAGATAAAGGTCAAAGGAGGGAAAAAAATAGAAAATGTATGATTTTTCATACGTAAATTGTAAATACAAAATATAAAAATGTAAGTATAGTGGTATAATTTTTGTAAATTCATTGACTGCAAACAATACCATTATTTAATAAAAATTAAAAAACTTTTACTTCATTTGTTGCAATGAGTATGTAGCTTTACCTGTCAATAAAGTTTATTAAAAACATTACGAGGCAGTCATGCATATAATAGCGATATGAACCAATGGTTTATTAAAACATTAAAATGACGGCCAATGGCTCTCGATCACTTATTTTCATTTTTACACACAATGTTACGCGCGGCAACAATTGCAGAGTACAGACGCAACAAAAACAAAGATGAGTGTTTTGTTTCACGTTTCTGATGGTTTCTGTAGTTGACATGACGTAAATTAATTAACAGATAATCGCTACGAAGACATTTTATAGTGTCCGTCACATATATTTCGAAAGTCTCTATATCAAGGATTCGCAAAATGTGGGTCGCAAGCCGAATTTTAGTGAGTCGCGAAAAATTTTAGAATGTTAAAGTACATTTCATTATATTAAGAGTGCTGCTCTTTTACGACTTCGTACATGTGTGAAATTGGCTTTTTAGCGATGATAGGAATTAAAACCAAATTGCGAAATAATTATCAAACTCATTGTGCTTGAAAATTACTCATCGCATCAATGTCGAACTCGAATTAAGGCTGTTATTAATACATAAATATAGGTAACAAGCGCATTTTTCACGTACATCTCATACATCTGAAAAATATATTAATAAAAGTGTATCTAATAAAAAAGGAGAGTAGTAAAATTAAGTGTAAATAAATAATCAATTCCCAACCTCCTCCGTTTTTCTATATTCATCTAGCTAGGTGAGTCGTGGAGTTTGCTGTTCTAAAAAGTGGGTCGCGATTTACAAAAGTTCAGGAAACTCTGCTCTGTAGACTAAGGTGGTACAATTTTGAACAAGGTACAATTTTGAACAAAATAAAATTTGAATCCAATTTTCAAGGTTCAAGTTTGACAACTCTCATTGTGTGAAAAATACTAAAGAATACCAAACAAGAAAAGATTAAACTTGAACTTCAAAAATTAAATTCAAATCTTACTTCGTTCAGAATTATATCATGTTCAAAATTGTGCCACCTTATCCCATATTAAATCGTCTTTCTATTTATCATTTTATAAATTTCAAAAGTGTCAAAATTTTATGGAAATAAACGTCAGAAAAATTCTTTAGGTATTCCGTGTATCAGTTGGAGGATCCCATTGTCGATCACGCGGTGTATCTTCAGGTTTACGAAAAGCGCGTTTTAGCGAACGGGTCGACTTACTGGAAAGATCTCACCGGGGATTCCGTAGTCAGGTGAGAGAGAGAAGAGAGAGAGGGGGGAGGGGGGGGGGGGGGGGGGGGGGGGGGGAGAGAGAGAGAGAGAGAGAGAATTTAAATGCGCACTCGGGTATGTTCGAAACGGCCCGATAAACTTCACGCTAGACAGGTCGTTTATGCCATCAGATTGGGCACGTTCAACAGGCACCATAGAGGCAACCAAGATACGATCGCTTTCGCCTACAAGGAAGTGAAAATGCTAGGACGAGAGGAGGACGAAATTCCTAATTTGGATGTCGTTCGTGATCGTCTTTTGGTACCGTCATCGGTGACATCAAAAGGCTTTGAATATCCTGCCGAAGGTATCGAACCCGAAATGTTTCAACGCCCTCCTCTTAAAATTGCACACGCGAGTTTGTATTTTCGAAAATTATTGTACAAAACGGAGGGCAAAATAATTATATCTGAATATCTAAAAGAATAATTTCACATTTTTTTCTCCGTAATTAAAAAGATCAAATGCATTTAATTTAAGATATGCCAAAAATGTAAAGTTACAATTTCATTTGAATTTTAATTAATTTTTCTTATTAAAAATTTAATTGAGATTTTCAAATAGCGAATCAAATATTAAAAAATATGGAGTTATAAAACGTGTATTATAATGTGTAGAAAAATTTCAATTCAAATTATTATGTCAAGTTTAATAATATATAATTATAATAACATAATAAATATAATAAACAATACAATAAAATCTGTCGTAACCATTTTAAAATTTTAATATTTGTAAAATAATACTTACACAGAAAGAATGATTTTATTAAAGTATTAAAAAATTTAGCTAGATACAGATCTGAGAATAATTTTGCCAGACTATCAAAATGATTATAAACGCTTAAACATTAATTGATTTAATGACAATACTGCAAAAATTTTAATATTCTACCAACTAATTTGAATCCTATATAATTATCCTATATAATTATTTTGATAATTTAAAATTATTTTCTCGCGGATATTTCTAAATTTTTATATATTTTAGCAAAATCATTCTTACTGTGCAACTATTTATAACTTAATCTTGTTACGTTACTAATTAGTTGACTTTGCAAAGTAGTCAAGTTAAAAAGCTTAAATAATTATACATTGAATACGAGATACTTTATCAAATGATATTTTGATGTTCAACCTAGGCGAGTCGGGCGAATATCTCGTGATACCAGCGAGCAGCATCAACGAGAGTGGAAACGAGTGCGACAAAGCGGGTGTGGGATTCGCGGCGTTCGCGAAGCAACCGGACCGGTGCGAACGTGTCAGGGGAACCTGTTTGAAAAATCAGCCCCTGGCCTACCGTAGGCGCGACGCGGTACGTATGACAGGTGCAATAAATGAAACAACGCTGGAAATGGCCTGTCCTCGAGCTATCCGCGGCCGTCGCGTTGAGCTTCGTGTGAGCGAGCGCGAGACGCTTTAAGTGCGGCGCTCGCTGTGTAACATGATTTATCGCGCACGAATTTAATACTTATATCCGTATAAAACGTTGCGAGGGGAGATTTGTCCCAGCGACGGGAACGGACGGTCGCATACAAATCGGTCGTCGGTAGAGGGACAACGTGGATTTTTGTATGTCGGCTCTGTGATACGCGAGACGTGGAATTCGAGCCGTCTCGTTTGGGCGAAATATCGAATCTGTCTCGCGTTCATAAATGTCCGCAGCGACTGTCGCTGCGAATGCCCGTTGTTACGTTTCGAATCATTGTATTCCGAATTCACGTTTTTCTCCTGAATCCTATTGTGAAACGACGCATTCTACGTTACATGAGTTTTACAGCATGCAAATTTGAGATTCATCCAAGATTTTTTTATAGCTTTAGATTTTTTTTTAATCAATATTAAGCAGTTTCTGCTTCAAAGAGTTTATGAATAATTTGACGCTTCGTTATATTGGGTCTTTAAAATGGGAAAACTAAAATTTTAGCAAGAATCTGCGAAACACGGAAAGAACGGTTTTGCTGAAGCATCTAAAAATTTAGCTAGATACAGAAAAGATCTAAAAAAAAATTTTGTTGGACCGTCAAAATAATTATGTAGGACGCTCAAACTGATTACTAGAATGTCAAAATTTTTTGCAGCATCGTTTATCATATTTTCTATATTTACATAATTATATATTTTAATAATACAACAAAATTATTTTCAGATCTGTATTTAAATTTTTTCATATTTTAGCAAAATCGTTCTTTTCGCGAATATTAAAATATTGAAGATTATAAACAAAAGATTGTAAATAGCAATACTTTTATTGGAAAAGGACAAGATCTCTCGATTAGGTTTCGCAATTTTAGCAAGAGTTTGAGAGATTATATTAATATCAAAATATTAAAGATGAACAATATTAAAGATAAACAAAAGATTAAACAGCTTTCATCAGGAAAGGGTAAGATCTATCGATTAGATTTGAAGCTTGTCAAACTCCAGAACTGCGTCAAAACTGTCATCGCGAGGTTTATCGGCAAAAGCAGACGACGGTCGCGCGTCACGAACATATGCCGGAAACCACCTAGCATACCCGCGAACATTTCCGCCAACCGGCTGTCGAAGGTCGGGCCGCTGTTCGATCTAGTGTCACATGTCGACAGGAAGCTCGCGCGGCCGGGCGACCTGGTTGCTACTTCTTGAGCAATTTCGCATCCGTGCCGAGCGAGCCCATCAAGTACAGCGCGAACGGAAGCGGAAGTCACGAGTTCCTCGCTCTGGAGTACCATTCGCTGCACGTGTCTGCGATCGACATCGAAATCGAGGCGAGTTACAATGCGCTCATGGAAGGGTGAGTTGAGTCTTGAGAGGAACGATATCTATCTACCCATAGACAACTAACTAGAGATTACCAACTAACCAGTTCGCTTACACTTCGTGCGCTAATTCCTTCGTAATCCGATTTTCTAATTACTCCGAATAGCTCAGAGTTGCTTGCTGGGAATCTCTTCTTTGAAAGAAGTTTAACGTTACGAGAATAACGAATAGAAATGCGTCAATAAATTCGTTTAATATCGTCGATAGATAATCTATGTTAAAATGTTAACAAATGTTTAGAGTTTTCGATATCGTATAACGATATTTTATAAATAGAATAGATAGTCTTTTAATGATAAAATCTAAGAGTGCTTTATTGTGTACAGATAAAAAAGTTTAGTTAAAAAAACTCTGGAATGTCAGTTATATTTTACTAAATATAAAGAATAATTAATGGTCATTTTTAACTTTGATGTAAGTTTCAAGATGTTTCGGGAACGCATCAACGATTCTGCGGATAAATTCTCTCACGCGATTTTCAGTTAATCAATGAAAATCTTTTCCAGAGACTTTTCGATATTTAATAATAAAATATAACTAACATTCCAGAATTTGTTTTTTTAAATGTACGTTACTATCCAGATAGCAATGAAGCTGACATTATTTATCAAAATGACAACAAATATAATATCAGTTTGCTACTTAAATAATAATTTGATTAAATTCATAAAACTTTGTGGTTAAATTTTTTTGTAACTCTGTAATTTTCCAAATTTTTCAGACCATAGATGTTTTGCAGATTAAGGCAAATTAATATTTGACGAAAATATTAAAGATATTCTAACAGAACTTTTGATGAATTATGATTGTTAAAATTGTTCAATCTTAGACCCCTAGGTCGCATCAGCAAAGTATACGTGGACAGCAGAGCTCTTAATCACACTATAGTGACAGTAGTGATAACCAATACAGGACTGACTTCGATGTTTTATCAATCAAGAATCGCGAAATGTTCCAACAATCCTCCAGAATCTTGGGTGAACGCTACGTTTCCTAGGAAATTAATTCAACCTCGATGCGAACAATCAATAAGCTTGGATCTCTACGGCGAGCTGCCCATAAACGAATTTCATTGTTCTGGTAAATCTAACGAAATAAGAACGATATACTATAATCATTTCTAAAATTCCGTATGTTTAAATATTTAAACAACATATTGACTTTCAAATGCATATCCAATTTTATATTCATTTAACTTGAAGCAATTTTTTTCAATCTGACAAAAAAAAGAAGAATGAAACTGATTTAATTTTCCATAAAGTTATCGCAGAATATTGCAGGCGACATTTATTGTCGTAGCGTACAAAATATATATGAAAAAAATTGTGCGTACTCGAGCAATCATTGAATGGTTTCTAGTGCAATTGTTGAATCGTCTCGGAGGACTAGTGGCTACCAGAAGGATAAAAGTACGGAAAATGGATCATTGTTCCTGCGTGTTGCACTGTTTATGTGTGTGCGTAGGCGACGCGCGTGGCATTACCTGCAAACCGATGTCACCAGAGCTTTATCACGCCGCTGGATTTCGCGGTCCTGTTCCTGCCTCCCACAAAATTTTCGTAGTAACTGTAGACATCCTATTTTTCATTGTCTTGTCGGTACTGCTTCTGGTTTTCGTGGGTTAGTAATCGTATAGTCGTTTCACTTAATAGCTTCTGAACTTACCTATTGATTCTCAAAGATATATTTTTCATTTACGATTTGTAATTTTTTTCTAAGTAACAAATTATTTTTGACACATTACATTTTTTATTTTTCCTAACAAAATTCCCAACAAGATTTTCCTAACTCATATTTAACGCATAATATCCTAACAATTATTTTTTTCTTCAGTATTATATAAATTTAATTCATTAATATCTAATTTATTATATTTTTTATAAATAGAATATGTTTCTCATGAACTTAAGTCTTTTTCTAATTTATTTTTTAAATATTTATAATAAAATAGCACGAATTTTAAAGTACACGTTTCTCCCAGGTTTTCTAAAATGGTCGATCGGCTTGTATATACCGATGGTAGGTCGTTGGGGTTTGGATTCTCTGTTGGAAACTAGCGGAATGTCTGAGTACTTCGAACGAGAATTAAAATATAAATGCGTGGTGATGGATGAGCATGGTGCACCGGTGCATCCAGATACGTGCAAGAGAACGGTTAGAATATGCAGCAGGTACAATAGGATAACTATAGTTATAATAGCACAATAAGATATAAATATATAGTGCATAAAATTCAGTGCATAAAATGTGACATGATACGACGAATGTCTACAGGAAAGTGGAATTCTTTTTGAACGTGATGTTCTTTTTTCTTTTCCCATTTGCAATTTGTTGCATTCGTCTTAAGAAGACTTTTCGTCGACCCGCCCATAGATGCTGTTGTTCGGACGGATCTAAAGTAAGAACTCCTTTTTCGTCTTTACATTGCGTATTAAATTGAAACAGAATTTTGCGACATAACAATCTGCCTTTCTTTGCGGCATGCAATGCGTCTCTCTCTCTCTCTCTCTCTCTCTTTTCTAGATCAGTTTGATGAGCGACAAGAGCGAACGTCCGAGAACAATTTGCGTAAATACTTATGGCGATAGTCGAGATTCGCGGATGGAAGTCGAGGATACCAAGTACGTGATAGACGAATTGAAGAAATCTGAGGAATCGTTACGCAGTCGTATTAGAAGTAAAGTAAGAAACAAAAAATTTAATAATAATAATAATAAAAGAGACAGGGTATATAGACAATACATCTACTTATATAAACAAAATAGACAATAAAATGTATACCTGTAATAAATCTACAATTTTTTTGTATGCTTTTTATAAAAATATGTAAAAAGAGAGAGAAAGAAAGAGCCATTTATTGCTAAAAATCGCATATTAAATATTTTGTTTTATTAAATTATTATTAGGAAAGGAAGAATAATTTTAATTAAGATTTATGATATTCAATGTTACACACAATACATTTAATATCGTAATTCATATTTTGCAACTTACTTTCCGTGCTTTTCCTAAAAAAGGAAGAATAAAATTCTCTTTTGTATATTAATTCATGAGTTTTACATGAGAATAATCACGTGTTAGTTTTGATTACCTAGAATTAAAAACACCCCATGGACCATATTTGGGAATCCAATTTATCGTTATGTACCAAAAGTAGAATGTATGAGTACACATAGGAAGATTAAAGAGATTAGAGTGCAGAGAGATTAGAGCACCGGATACGTGTAAAATATAGCAAGAACATAAATGCTAAAACGCGCACCAGCGAATAGGGTAGTACGTGACCCCAAAATGGCAAATGGGGGAAGCTACGACGACGATTGGCCCGATAAAAGCGATATTTCATTCGTGCATACGTGTAATCCGCCATTCGTCATAAATGCGACAATAAAGTAGATGTTATTTGTCATAAACTTGTCGTTGGAATTTTGAAAAAGCGAAAGATCCGTCATACTTATTTGAAATCAGCGTTGCATTTTTTTTATATTCAAGAGTGACACTTTTGGATTTGTTATCCTTTAAGGATATTAAGTGTGTTATTTATTGAACTTAAAAATGTTGAGCAGAGAATGATACTGTTGCGATTTTATTCTTTCAGAGAAGAAAAAAAACAACCCCCGCCATTAACAAGAACTTGAAATAAGTTTGACGCAACTGTCACACACAAACTTCAAAAGTCGTCTTGACGGTTTTAAGTTGAAGACATCTTTATATAGCTATTAATATATTAATATATTAATATTAAAATAATATTGTATTGTATGAAATATTATAGTCAATAAATGTAATCACAATTAATCATTTATCCTATAACATTAACTCCTTTCGTCTGCAATCTGCTTTTTACAAGTCTAGCTTTTCAAAGAATATTTAAAAAAAATTCAATATTACCTGTCAACATTTCCTTCTCTCTATTATGTTACCAAATTTTTAATAAGATATTTTAAGAGAAGAAACCGGACTTCTCTTTATTTCGGAAAAATTTATGAGTAAAATTTCCCTTATGCTAAAAACATTCAGAGTAAACGAGTTAAAAATGGTATGCATTTAATCAATATTAAATTTGGAAAAAAACTATAAAACTTTGGAGTAAAATTCGTCCTGTAATATTCGTTCTATATATAATTGTACTATGTCATTATTATTATTATTGTTATTATCATTGTTGCTTATATTACGATGATGTATCGCCAGCTTTTAATTTTAGAAGTATCAAGCATAATGAAAATAATTCATATACACAAGAGTACAGCTGCAGGCTGAAAGAGCGAAGAAGAGAGAAAGCGCAGGAGCACGAGAGGAAGGAGGACATTCACGAAAGTTATGCGCAATGCGGTTGTGCCGCGAGACTCGGAGAATTTGTGACCGCTTCCGGCGGATATCTACGGTGCGGGTGGGTGTATCCCCCGGTCTAACCCATTTTTTCGTTGAGTACTATTTATGTACACCATCTGGATGTAAATATTCATGCGGGACGCGCGCGCATATTTGCCGTGCGCCGCTTTTCCTAGCCGCGGCGAATCGAAATAAATGCCCGTATTGCGGAAACTGAAATTTCAACCCGCAAGATGTGCGTCCGCTATACCGATTTCAACTCTCTTCAATCGGACACTTGCCGATGTTTTATTCCTGTCTTGAATACTTCAGTTTCGGCGGAAACTGTGTTATCGTAACTCACATTTATCTACTTTCGCGATCGGATTTTTATACTCTGCGACGAACAGTCTCCTAATAAAGATCTGCAAAAACTGACGTAACAGAGAAATAATTTTAAAAAGGATTGATTCAGTTACTATCTGCGGAGAGATAACTTAAGATCGATTGGAATATTATCGGAAGAAAGAGAAAACTTTATAAACAAGACAACTTTATATACAAGAAAAGAAAGTTTGTCAAATGTATTTGCGGTTTATGTTCTTAATAAAAATAATCGAATTATTATTTTACTCACTGATTATACTACAAAATGTTTAATATTTTCAATTAATTATTTCTAAATTATATTTAATGATTACTGAATTAAATAATGATTTTGATGATGTTATAAAATCTACAATATTTAGATATATTTAGGTATATTTTATGGGATCAATATAAGCCACTTTTTACGGATCAAAATACATTAGCATTATTATGATAACAGGAATATTAGTGTACGAGTAAAGTGATTAAAAATTAAATTATATTTCCATTAATTAAATCTTAAGTATATATAAAAAAAAATAGTCATAGTTGCAGAAGTATCTAATTGCTCATAAATATAAGAATACGTAAATAGACTGATGACGCATTCAAGAATTAATTTAAAGTATTCAATTAAACGTCGACAATCATCACGAGATTGGTCGGTCTAGGAATAAAAAAGGTCGGCTCACTTTCCTGCTGGGTTTTCATGCAAAATTGCGCATATGCTCATAATGCATAACTATCTCACAAAGCCTATGCAAATGTACACACCTGCGCCGACTTCCGCGTTCTTGTGTACGGGGCGGCGCAGAGAAAGGCCGATCTTTTGCCATTGTAATTCGGTAGCCTCCAGGCGCTCTTTCTCTCTGGATCGGCCGTACTCCACTGACCACAAGAGAACGGTAAATAGATGGATACGGGCGGAACGGAACAATGGCGAGATGGGTAACGTTGGTTAGAAGAAGGATGCATCATTTAAATTTTCATGATTGAATTCATGTTTCACGCAGATTGAATGGAAAAAAGTCGGGCAGGGAGCAAGCAAACGAGTCTTATTAAAGATCGCACGTGAATAGAGGTACTCAGCTTAGTAACATTGTCTAAATGCAGAATTCAATCGATCGATCTAATCAAACTTCCTTACGTGCCTTACGTACATATTAAATATTAGATTGACAAATATTTGTCTTTGAATTTTTTGAAGAGAAACTATTTTTCACAAGATACAGCTATAAACTTCCATAAATATTAATAACATTCATAAAAAGAACTAAGCTGTCTGTCATAAAAAAGAACTTGTATTCTATAAATTATATTATTAAATTATCTTACGTAAAATTCTCGATGGTCTATTAACTGCAGGAAGCAAATATTTCAACAAAAGAAGCGAAAGTAACGAGGCATAAAATTCACGCGTACAATACGACAATTCTATCACAGAGATCGTTTAATATATTCGGAACAGAAACACGCGATCATTTGAAAAATATAAAAATGTAAGGGTAGTTATAACATGTAGTTACATCATTGCGTTTGTTGTAATTCATAGTCGAGTTCGTAGTCGACCATTTGAGACTTGAGAATTTCGTTAATGAACTCGCGGGACCGACAGGAATTAATGGCGCGCTTCCGAGGTGTCGACATTCAAGGTTATTCACAAGATAACGCGAGGTTTCCTTCGTATGAAAAGCAACCGTGCACATACCAAATATTTATACCTGCGATTACATCGAGGAAACCCCCGAGAATAAAAGCAACTTTGGTTCGAAGAAAGCAGCAGCGGCTGCAGCTCTGCACCTCTTCTATGTATGCCGGAAATAAATAAACTGACTTTCCTTCCCGCTGAAGATATCATGGCTCTTGGCGGTTCCGGGGCTACGGATGTTGATGTTTCGTACCTCGCGAGAAGCCTGAAACGTAGCAGGAAACCCTTGGGGCATTGCCGGTGCTCTTGGAAGTTCTATTCCTCGCGTGCATCGCTTTGTTTTAATACGGCGAAGTAATGAGATTGTTGCGAGCAGCGGCTCGTCTGTTGTTGCCGTTACAGAGTATCTGGTGAAAATGAGGATAACAGCAGTGTAGTGTTATATATACAGCGCGACTTTGACCGCGTGAGCTCTTGCAGTACAATGAAAAGTAGAGCAGTGTCCTACCTGTAATGTGATTGGAATGAATACATTTTATGTCGTTTACGCAGAGCCTTCTCTTCCTCATTTATCTAATGCGAATGTTGTAAAGCAGATATGATTAATATGTATAATTAATGTATGTCAAATGTAATTATTGTATAAAATATAAGTTGTATTATAATGTATTATGTTAAATTTATGTTGTATTTATATTATGCGAGTATTGTAAAAATATAAGTTTCAAATGTAGAGAGAAGAGAAATAAACATATCTACCAAATGTAAATTGATTGTTAAAATACAGATTAATTGAAAATACATTTATTGAGTATATTACTATTTTATGTAAAAATTGTTACATATTTTTTTAATAAAAACTAGGAAGAGGGAATTT